AGGATCTGAATGTTTACCTTCTAATGCCTGGTTCACAATGGCTATACCATCATTTTAAAAATATTTTACTAAAATCATTGAAATTGGCTAAATTATATACTAAACAAGTATTTTTTTATCCAAATAGAAATTACATCCAGAAAAAAAATGTTTCTATGAAACTATCATATTGATAATACGTTATTATGCTTTGATCTAAAATACCCCCAACACCAAAGCTCTTGTTTTGGATGTTTGGTTTCCACAATCTGGTGTTACTTTGAAGGCTTAGGAGTGAGACATGGCTGGTGGAGGAAGAACACTAGCAGTGGACCTTTGGAGGTTATTCCTGTTCTTGATTCCTGCCCGCTTTCTCTCTGATTCTGATTTACCGTCACATGAGCAAGCTTCCTATGATAATGCCATTGCATGCTCTTGCCACCATGAACCAAACTGCTTCCACTGTGCCATGCCTTTCTGTATCACTTACTCATCTTGTTGCTGTGCAGAACACCCAACAAAAGCAACCTAAGTAAGGAAGGGTTTCTTTAAGCTCACAGTTTGATGTTACAGTCTATTGTGGTGGAGAAGCATGGCAGCAGGTCACATTGCATCTGTGGTCCAGAAGTGGAGAGATAAATGCTGAGGCTCAGCTCATTTGCTCCCCATTCTTCTGTTCAAAGCCTCAGCCAATGGAATGGTGCTATCTGTATTTAGGGTGGTTCTTAGTTAACCCTATCTGGAAATTTTCTCACACACATGTCACAGGTCTGTCTTCAAACACGATGACTCTTGATCCTGTCAAAATGAAAATCAATATAAGTTATCCCACTTTCCCATCATGATGAACTGAAATCCCTCTGACACCATGAGCCAAAATAAATTCTTCCTCTTGTCAGTAAGTGTTCAGAGAGAATGAAAGAGAAGAAAGAGAATGAAAGAGAAGAAAACCAGAACAAACATCTTTTTTGGCGGAGTTATATCATAGATATGCTGCAAGTGGTATATATCCAAAAAAATTCATTAAAAGCACATGACCAGCATCCTATTTTCATTCTAGATTGCCATTTGGTGCTTACCATGTGTTATGCAGCCAGCGAAGTGCTATACTGAAAACCTCATTGATAATTTTAGCATGACATGTCAATATAATGTGGCTTTGCAAGTATTTATTTTTGAGGCAGGGTCTCCCCATAGCCCCAGCTGGCCTGGAACTCCCTATGTAGACCAGGTGGGCCTAGGTCTCTCATAGAGATCTGATGGCTTCTACCTCCTGAGTGTTGGAATTAAAGGCATGTACCACCAGGCCTGGTGCAAGCAAATTATTTAGAACCTAACACTTGCTAATATAGCAATCTTTATCCTTCATGTGATCAGTAAAGTGGGACAATAATATTGCAGCTTTCTACAGCATTTTGTCAGGTCAAAATATTGACATATCTTAATTCAGTATATAAGCAAGCACAGAAGTTATAGGCTAGGCATGTTGCTCAGTGGTAGAGTGCTTGCCTAACATATGCAAAACCCTGGGTTGCATCTCTATAGCAGAAAAAGAAAAAAAGAACAAAGGTAGTATTCTCTGTGTAAAATATTAACCTGCAGTTGTTGATGCTATTATTAGGTCTCTGTGATTGTTTAGGTCATCAATCTCTGGCAAGAACCTTTCAGAATGCTTGATGATATTGCAAGTATCAAGCTGTGCTGCATTAAAACATGATGAATCTCTGTCCAGGTAAAGCTGTGCCCTTTGGCTATCATAATGTATCACCATTTTGTTTACAAATGGGTATTCGCTCTGCTAAATGGCAACAGGGTGCATGAGATCCAACAAATGGGGAATGTTGATGCTTATTAATGTCAGGACTGACAATGTAATTGAAAGTCTAGGGAAGATAATCCTAATTATTTGTAAAATAAAAGATTTTGGTAAATTAAAATCATTTGTGAACCAGGTATTTAAATGAGTAAAAATAATTCTTTACTAAACAGGCTAAAAAAAAATAACAGGGTCTACATAGAGTAACTTGATTTTGTTTTTCTTTTAGTCACTGGCAAAACAAACCAGAGCCTCATGCATGCTAAACACGTGCTCTACTACTGAGCTAAACCCATTGACTAACTTTATTTAAAATTTAAAATTTCACTTCAAAATTGTTTTGACTTTTCTATGCTAACAAAATTTCCCAATATCATACATATATTTGTCAATTTACAACTTCCATGGGAGTTTCTTTTGAATATTTGTTTGATTCATAAAATCATCAGCCACATACTGCCCAGGTTATTATAGTTTTGAACAAGAATGTCATTTCTGCTAGTAGATACACAGAATGAAAATGACTTGATTTCCCCTTTTGTTGATCAGTTTAAAAGGCAGATACATCATTCATTTGAATTTTTTAAAATTACTCAGTGACAGAATTTTACAATTAAACAGAAGGAAAATTGCCATGCTTGCTGTAACTTGCAGTTTTTAAAGAAAAATTTTTTTCAGGCTTAAGGCAGGATTTTATTTCCATAATGAACCAATCTCCATGAAACACATTTTTAATGCTAGTAAATATACTTTACTTGCTTTATATTCCTTTTGGCATATGCCACACAAAGGCAGGCAGATCTCTGAACACTTACTGACAAGATTTAAAGAGGACTAAACACTCAGAGGCCAGGCTATATCCACAGCCTCAAGGCCCCTCTACAAGCAGTTATAGACACAATCTGAAGTTCCAATAGAGGTTGCAGAATCCATCACTGGACAAATCGATCATTTTCTCCTAGACATACTAAGGCTTTCCTAGTCTGAACCAGACAATTAAGACCGCAGAAGAACATGACTGTATAGCAACTCTGTATCTGCATACCTTCTCCTAATAGCTAAGAGGCCTCTCCATGAGATTCCACTCACAGCAGCAATGTGGTCAGTGCAGAGGGATGCTGGGAATGTGAGCTCTTATTTTAAGTGTATGAGTGTATAGCCTGCATGTATGTAACTGTACCCATGTCGTGCAATGCCCGCGGAGGTCAGAAGAGGCTGTCCAATCCCCTGGGACTGGAGTTATGGACAGTTGTTAGCTGCCATGTGGGTGTTGGGATTCGAACCCAGGTCTTCTGCAAGAACATCAAATGTTCTTAACCACTGAACCATCTCTGCAGCCTCATAATGTGTATTTTTTACCTAAAGCATTTTGTCCTGAATCTGTTTTTCTATAATAGATACATTTGTTTTGTCTCAACTATTTTTCCTCATATAATAAACATGGGAAAAATCTTTTCACCAGTAAATGTTTCAAATATATAGCAAAACTGAGTACACAACATCACTATACAAAAAAATGTCAAATCTTTAACAATTTGATATCATATATTCCAGAGAAACAAAATATGACAGAAAGAATTGTAGAGACTTGGCTGCCTTTATCTGATTGACTCTTTCTCTATTCATTTTTATTCATTAGCATAATAAATCCTATTTTATATATTTATTTGTATTGATATATAATTTACCCATAAATGTGATATAAGGTTTTATATATTTTTGTGTTTATAGAAATGTGTGATACTGTATTACCATTATTTAACTTGCTTTTTGTGTTCAATATGCTACTGAATTGTTATTATGGTAATGCACAAATGTTATTTTATATATATTATATAGAGACACACATACATATTTAATTTATTTTGACTTGGGGATCAAACTCAGGGTGTATGTTAACTACATCCTCTCCAGCTATGCCACTATTCATTTACTTTTTCTTTTAAAAAATTGTATTTATTGTTATTATTTTGTGTGTATGAGTGTATTGTGTGCATGTGTCTAAGTGCACCCATGTCATGCAATGCCCGTGGAGGTCAGAAAAGAGCATCAAATTCCCTGGAACTGGAGTTATGAATGGATATTAGCCACCATGTGGGTGCTGGTAACCAAACCTGGGTCCTCCGCAAGAGCAGTCAGCACTCTTAACCGCTTAACTATCGCTCCAGCCCACTTTTATTATTTTTATACTTTATTTTTTATTATGTTTATTATTTACCTACCTATTTTGTGGTAATGGGGAATTTAACACAGAGCTTTGTGTATGTTAGACAACAGCTCTACAGATGAATCACATCTTTATCCACTTTTTAAAATTCTGAAATAATGTCTTACTATGTAGCTTAGGCTGGAATACTTGTGATCCTTCTACCTCAGCCTCTCAAATGTAATAGCTAGGATTATATCTGCATAACTGTGTCTGTCTTGTGCATTATATTACTGATAGAGTATGTTACAATTTGTTATCCATTGTTTTTAAAATGAGCAATTAGCCCTATATCCAATGTTATTAACATGTGTGTTAATATTCTGCTCTATGTCTGCTTATGGGTATGATAAGGGGATCTCTGGCAGTTCAAATGAAAGTGTTCAAATACTGTGTGCATGTTCTCCTTAACTAGGATCCTGACATACCACCAGTGGATTAACTGTATACTTTAACAAATACACGAATACAAAAGCTTCTTATCTTTTCACAGCCTATCAAATATTCAATTTTTAATTCCTATCAGTCTGATGGATGTGAGACAATTCATTGTTATTTTCTTTTTCATTTCCCTACTTAGAAACGAGTTTAAATATCATTTCATGCATTTATTAGACATTTGATTTCATTATTGGATTGCCTATTCATATCTTTTTCTCATTCTTGTTGTCATTTTCTTATTAACTAGAAAGAGCTTTACATATTATTACAATTCCTTTGCTAATTACATGCATTAAATTTAGGGTCTCCAGTTAGTGGCTAGTCTTTTCAAAGTTAAAACTTCCATGTTTGGAATTCAGTCTACTCCTTTATGTGCTGAGTCTTTTGAATCATGTTTAAGAAATTTTCCTACCTGTTTCTCATAAAGATATTCTATACAGGGTTGGAGTGATGACTCTGCAGTTAAATCACTCACTGCTCTTGCAGAGAACCTGGATCAAGTCTTCAGCATCCACATGCCAGCTAACAACCATCCATAACATCAGCTCATGAGGATCTGATGCCCTCTTCTGATCTCTGTGGACATTGTACAATACAGGTGCACTTATATACATATTGGCAAAACACTCATACACATAAAAATAAATTTAAGATATTCTATATGATCTTTTAAAAGGTTCAGATTAGGTCTTTCATTCATACTTAGAGTGGATAATAAAGTAGATGATTCTCAGGGATCCTGTCTATTAAGATGAAAAGAATGGACTAGCATTCCTTCAGGCAATAAGGAGTGATCAGCTGTTTTGACTCAGAACAACGAAAAGATTAAGCATTTCTAATTTTTTTTTTTTTGGTCTTTTTGAGACAGGGTCTCCCTGTAGCCCCAGCGGTCCTGGAACTCTATTTTATTTTTATAAGTAAAATAAAATCTCTTCTTACAATAACACTTATTGTAAATGCTATTCCTTTGCTTTATATGACAACTCTGTCATGTATTTGGTTTCCAAGTCGTCACAGATTTTTTTGTCTTCTCAATTTTGATGAAATGGTACATTTATACCTGTATAATAAGGTTTCATATCTGTAGTACAGGGCCTACAGAGCCAGAACAAACACATATGATACCACTGTTCAAGTCACAAAAGATTTATGGAGATGTTCTCCAGCTAGATTTTCTTACTTTTTAAAACTCATTTTTGGTTGATTGTTTTTCTATACGAATTTTAGGATAAAAGTGTCAAGTTCCATAAAAGCATTACATTTTTACTAGTAAAATGAAATTATGAATTAATTTGGAAATAATTATATTGTTATGATCTTATAACTATTTTTCATTTACAAGACTAATTTTTTTCCCAATGTGTTTACTTAGACCATGAGAACTTACTTGTTCAAGAGAGCTCAGTGAAGGAATATGAAAAATAAAAACCCTAGAACAGAGATGGCCCATTCCAGCTTATAGCTTCTTGATATTCACGTGTGTGAATTCCAGCTTGTAGCCAGCAGACATCTACACACAATGGTGAGTTTAATCCAGCTTATAACCAAAGTCAATAAATTTCCAAGAAAATCCCTTAAATGCGTGCTGGTTCTTTTGACCACTCATCTATGCAACATACAAAGGTATGTGTTTCCTTTTATTTGGGTTTTCTTAATTTTTCTCAATAATATTGTATCATAGAATATCCTCATGCAAGCCCCACTCAGTCATTAGAATTATTCCTAAGAGGCTTATTTTTAATCATATTCTAAGAGTTAAAAAATCATTTTTCTGTTCCTGTTTTATAAGAACACTTTTGACTATCGTGTTTTAACTTTGTTCATATTTTTTAATTAATCTGAGGACTTTTTTTCTGTAGCATTCTGAGTCATTGTCTAGTATAAGCCATTGCGTCTAATTTCTTTCAGAAAATCTAATTAAATACATGGCATTTCCTCATAATCCATCTTTTGTGCCTCTTACTTGTTCTCATATTTCTAATCTGTTTTTCTTCCTGTGCTCCAATCTGTGTGAATTTCTTGTTAGTTGAAATTCATAAAAATCTCTATTTGTAGCTGGGCATGGTGATGCACACCTTTAGTCCCAGCACTTGGGACTACATAGTGAGTCCCAGGACAGCTGGAGCTGCAGAGAGACCCTGGCTCAAAAAGATAAAAATAAATAAATAAATAAATAAAAAGCACACACGTACACACACACACACACACACACACACACACAAAACCACTCTATGTGTATGGTAGGTTATATACTGTCTTCAGATTTAAAGATTCCATTGCCTATATTTGTTTCCATTATGCCAGTGTTTGCTTAATCATTTATTTAATAATAGTTTCATTTTCCCATATTATTTCAAAGGTTCTGACATGTTTTTTATGAGATGGTTCACTTTGAAAATGATTTCTTCATTTATTTGAGCATCTTAAGCAAACAACCCTAATTTAATGTTTTTGTTAGGTTCTGTGATGGCTATCTCGTGTTTGCTCCTCCATATCCTTTTCCATTCTTTACTTGGCTGTACCCATGCTGACTGACAGGCAAGTCCCTGTCCTCTGCTTCCTGGATGGTTTTAGGCTAGGTAACAGAGGGGAATAGGAAGAGAAGAAAGGAAGTTAGTAATGTGATTCCCTTCACTTTGTATGCAATATATCCCTGTATGTTGATTAGTTACAACTATAGAATCCGTACCTCTTTTTACATAATGCTGTCCACACACTATGCACTTGGTGCCTGGTGAACCCACCTAGCAGGAGTTCTGATAAATACTCTTTGGGATGGTAGCAAAGAGATGAATCAGGTCCTAGTTGAGCTGTACTCTTTGTTTGGGAGTCCTGTTTCTCTCTTCTCTGCTATAATATTCCATTTTTATAGTCTAATTTAAATCTCATCTCATTCATTAACCATCGTTCTCTTCTCATGAAGTCACAAAGTATTTTTCTCTCAAGTCATCCAATTTAGTCTTTTGGTAGATGGGAGATAAAGAGATTAATGGTTAAATCAGGATTTCTAAATTTAACTATTTTCATGTGACAGTTCCTATTCTGTCTTGGTTACTGTTTTTGACAATATTTAATCGTCCTTGTATGATATTATTGCATTAAATATTGCTTGTAAAAACTACTGATTAGGGGTTGGAGAAATAGCACAGCGGTTGGTGGAGGCTAACAACCATCCATAACTCCTGTTCCAGTGGATCCAATACCTTTTCTGACCTCCACAGGAATTGCATGACATGGTGCACTTACATACATGCAGGCAATACACTCATACACATAAAATTAAAAAAAAATATATATATATATGAAACCTACTGACTAAAGATTAGAAGTGTGTGGGTGTGGTATTTTTTATATTGTGTATTTTAGTAATCTAAAGGAAGTGCTAAATGGATTGTACATTGATATTTGTAGTAACATTCAAGAGCATTAAAATAATAGAGTGAACAACAACATGTTGATAAATGCTAGATACCAGCATTACATTGTTTTATCTTGATATGACAATGTGTTATAAAATATTGTATCTTTCCATTTAAGAGGAAAAATTCAGATAAAATACATTCCAACACTAAAGTCCTAGTTTATATTATTTTACTCCCACTAAAATAGTGAATATTATAAAATCTTTATGAAGACTAAAATGATTGAGAAATTAGCGTTTTGGGCATTAGATTACATAAAGTTTATGTCTAAGCATCTTGAAATGCTGACAAAGATAGGACTTTTTTTTTTTTTTGCAAGAAAAAAGTGCTGCTTGGTAATTTTATGTTTTAAAGAAAGAATAAGTTGTAAGGGCTTTAAAAATTCAAATCCTATCAGACCAGAATAGAAATTCAGAGCTCAAAGAGATCTTTGAAATAATCAAATTCAATCCATTCACACATACTGAATCTGAATCCTAAGAAAGTTAACTAACCTCTTTTCGCAAAAACAGCATATTAGGCAGAAACAAGAGCACAGTTTATATATGCTGGTCCCTATCAGGCACCTTTCCTTTGAACCAGCATCCTGTTTACTGAGACTGCATTTTATAAACTTTAAGAAGATGACTTTCCCACCAGATTCCTTTGCTGGAAAGTTCATGGATGTTTCTCATCCTTTGTAGGACAGAAGGGCGTATGAAACATTTCTACCTCATCATTCCTTTTGGCTAAACGACCTCTGTTGTCAGTAAGGAAAATGAAAGCATGCAGAATTATCATTAAGCAATAGCATTTCCCCCACTTTTTCTTCATTTTTTGGTCTTTTTGAGACAGGGTCTCCCTGTAGCCCCAGTTGGCCTGGCACTCACTATGTAGACCAGACAGGCCTCAATCTCACAGAGAGTTGCCTGCCTCTGCCTCCCACATACTAGGACTAAAGGCATGGACCACCATAACTTGTAGTCCCTCACTTTATACTTTAATGGAAAATAACTCTTTACTCTCATTTTATTGCCATCAACCTGTGTAGAAATTGTCTTCTTAAGGATTATCGTTAAGACTTTAAGCATCTACTGCTGACCAGAAACTGTGATAGACGCTAGAGCGCCAAGTAAATTGGATACCCATGACATTCTCCTAACATAAAATATGTTTTAAAATAATCTTTACATGTTCTTTAAGACAGATGCCATAAACATATGGTTGCAATAGTGTGTGTGTATGGTAGAGATACAGGGTAACCAATGGGGGTCAAAGAACAAAGATCTTAAGCAAATTAAAAACAAAGCCTCATTAGCTCCCACTTCCTATTTGCATTGTGCTAGACTAATACCTGCTTTATTCATAGAAGTCACCCATTTGGTGGTGACATTAGGAATATGATATAATTACCCCTGTCACTCTTAAAACATATTCTGAATGCTTTTGTGTTGTATACCTTTGGTACACCAAATGTAACATAAAAATTGCACAAGTACTTAGTAACCTTGCTATAATTTCCACTTTCATTTGTATCATGTAATATTTTCACATAGCTTTTCATTGTGGCCTAATAGTGTATTGTTTTAAAACGTATTTATTACTGCCATCGCTGCTATTATTTCAAATTTACTGACCAGTTAGGAAATAATATCATTGTGTTACATGTGGTTAGCCTCATGTTACACTTTTAAAAGGATTTGGCTTTATTATCTATATTATTAAATATAAAAGACAAAAACAGTGCACAGATGGCTATACAGAGGGAGCCCCTGCTTTGTATTTTCAAATCCATGGACACAGCATATGCATTTATTTACAGCTTGTACATAATTAAGCTGGGTTGAAGCCATTGATATGAACCATGTTAATGCTGTTCTATATTTAAATACAGAAAGACTGCTGGATCTGATCCCAGATTTATAGCAGTTTTACTTGAGGAAAAAAATCCACAATAGTTAATCTAAAAGAAATAGTTATGTAAAAATTGAGTGCGTAAATCTTATCTAAAGCAAAAATATAGTTTAGTCGTCCTTAGAACAATTGGAGGAATCAGTGTTATTATCTCACTATTGACTATTTTATTCTTATATGCTTTATGAAAATTGAACATAAAAACTGAACCAGTGAACAGCACCTTCCAATCAGCTTTGTGTTTAAAATGATTAAATAAGTTTTTCTACAACAGGTGCATTTCATTTTACATTTTATAAACACTGGATTATAGAAATTTGCCTACCGAGTATGAGATCAGAGATTAGCATTTTTATTCCAAGAAAAAAGAAAATAAAGAACATGTATATTTTATGAAACTCTCCTATTCAAAACCAAAAAAGACCCTAAAGAAATTAACAGGAAATTCCATATCATATTCCTTCACTCTAGGCTTATGAACCTCAACCTCTGTGGGCTCAAATGTATGAAGTGAAAGACATGTAGGCCAAACAGGAGCACGCGCTGAGTATTTCTTACTCATTCCCCATTTTAGTATATAGCTCTTTAGATTATATTAAGTGAATTGTTTGCACCTATGCACAGAACTTTAAAAAGCGCCCTCCTCTTGCCATCTTTGATACACTTGTAAAGTGGAATAAATGAATTAGTCTTCTGACACCTTAAATGTATTTTAAGAGCTTTATGCTTTATATTTATTGGATATCTTCTGTTACTTAAAGAAAAAACAATCATCTTTGAAATCTTCTCACATCCATTAAGTAAATGACTAAATTAGCAGATAATATATTACATAAGTTACGGACTCTATGCCTGTAGAAACCAGAGCCAAATGTTAATGAATGACTAATTTATGCCCTGGGATTTCTTATGGCTTTGTAGTGTGATTCTGAAAATTCAATTTAATCTCAATTGCTTTCTGATAGCATATTTCCCTTTGGTTTTTATAAAATGTATTATAGCTAGATAAACAAAGGTAAATTTAAATGTATGAAAAACACTAGAAGCCAGGTTTCATTTTCTTTTCATGTTCAACTTAAAATTTAAAAGCATTTACCACCTCCTTTACCTCTCCGTCCCTTGTCAACACTTGGTGACAGCTAGTGTGCTCTGTCATTTCTTCTGCTTAATAAGTGTACTTCTGATATGTCAACATTGCCCCATCAAG